CCCGGGCGCGCCCGGGACCCGCCCCCGGCTGGCGGCGGCCGCGAGAGCCGAGGATGAAAGGGAAGGGGGGCCCCGGCTCCCCCAGACACCCTCCATCCCGCCCCACTCCCGGTCGCGGCTCCGGCCGCCTCCTGGTCCATCTCACCGGCCTCCCGCCCGCCTTCCAGCTGTCCCGCGGTCAGTCCTGCCGGCGGCCGACGGGAGCCACCGCCGCCGCAGCCCGCTCGCCTCTCCGCTTCCTCCCGGGCTGCTCCGCTTCCCCTCACCCCGGAGAGTGGCCAGAAGGAAGCCAGCTCGCCGCCGGGCCTCCTCCCCCGCTTCCCCGCCGCGACCAATGGGCCCCCGCCGCCGGGAAGCCGCGCCCGCCCCCTGGCGGTGGAGGACCGAGCGGGCGCCCCTGCCTGCCCAAGAGCCCGGACGGAGAGGTGGGAGGAGTCTGCGGTTCCTCCCGCCGGCCCCGCCCCGCGCGGCGCAACCTGGGCTTGCCACGTGGGGACTGCTGGGGCGGGGCGGGAGGGGGCGCCCGCGCCTGGTGGCGTCCCGGCAGGGGGGCGTCTGTGTCCCCAGATTTTTGCAGGCGTTCATAACCTAGCCCTGAAGGCATAAATGTTAAAATAACCAATCCCATTCTAGAGATTCACCAGCTGGGAAAAAGCGATCTTAAACTTCTTAACTAGTAAATTGATTCTGAAAATATTGCTCATCCCAGGCACAAACCTTACATGTTTGATCCAAGCAAAAAAGTTAAGTATATGTTTTGTTATTTAAAAAAAAATTTAAAAACCCAATGTTTTGAAATTTTTTCTCACTTCTAAGACAGGTTTACCATACGTGTTGATAACTGAAAAGGCAGTGCAGACCACATACAAAATTAGACAACAGAATTGTTTCGTAATTCCGTATTCCCTAATAGTGACATTACTATTATTGCTAGTAACTTTTTACCTATTAGAGAAAATATTGGGGCAATTCATATAATAGAAGTTTAAATTGCATTAAAGAGTAAGGTTTGACCATAGTAAGTCTTCTACCTAGAGTGAACTTTCTTTCAAAAATGTAAAACACAGAAGCTAAATAATGCTAAAGTAGGAGAGGAAGCAAGAAACACATTCTAAGAGTCTTCTAGGTACCACTTTATTGGATCTTTGATGAGCCTTGAGGGATGTGTTATTTAATTCTCACAACTCAAAGGAAGTAGATGTTATTTGTGTCTTAACTTTAACACATCAAAAACCCAAGACTCCAAAACCACTAAAATAAGTTGCTCAAAAATACAATGTAATGAGTTGTGAAGCTAGAATCACAAGACAAACAGGAAGGTAATTTGTTTCTTTTCCCACCAACACAGTGCCGGGGACACACACTTGTCCCATTGAAAGATTTCTGAAACCTCTTCAGTGAAAAGGTCAGGTCATGTGTGAAAGAACTTCTTCCATAACCAAACTGGCTTATGTGGAAATGGCCTTGTACTTCTACCACCGTATTGAAACATTTCCTAGGTTGGAGGTTTGTTTAAAAGCCTACTTCCCCATGACATTAATATATGACTTCGACTCCTTGGTTGGTAATGAAATTAATAACAGTGGAACACCAACAGTATTATGCCGGTGGTGATTCACTGAACTAGAAATAAAAACTCAGAGTTCATAGCACAACTCAAGGATAAGTACTGTTTCATGAAACATTTGTACAATAGTAGATGTAGGTGAGTGTGTGTATGTCTTGTAAATTACATTTCTTAACATGGATTGCAATGTTTAAGTTTGTGCAGCATTTCTTTAGTTCACCTGCTTTTTTTCTTCTTTTAACTTATGAAAGAGTAAAGATAATTTTCCTACATTTTTTCACTTGGCAAAGGTAGGAAAGGCAGCAGTGGTTATAAAGATTAATGGTTAAATTTATGAAGACCACAGAATTTTGCAGCTCCAAGTTTAATAGTTTAATATCAATAGGTATAGCTGTGTTACACAATAATAGGTAGTGATTATATTTTAAAGCCAATATTTATTGTATATTTTGTATGCCAAGTTCTTTCCCTAACACTGCAGAGTCTGACTCATTTAATCCTCACATTAATCCCATAAATACAGAGAAGGAAAGGGAAAGCTGCCCAGTTCAGATAGTAACCGAGCAGAGATAAGATTCAAATCTGCCTCACAGCCTTCCCTCTGTGTGAATTTGAAAAGAAAATTCATTCTTTCTTCAACAGGTGCAGGGTTTTCCTTCAAGCCATCACTTAAGCTGTATTAGTCCCCACACCAGGATTATATAATATTGTTTAATGTAAATCTTGATGAAAAGTCTCACAATTTTCATTGGACCATTCTCATGCAGAATATCCCCTTTGTCCATTTAGACAAATGGAATATATATGTAGTTGTCTATATATGGAGTAACAAACAGGACTATATTTGCCTATAAAACAGGGCTGCCGGTAATTTCTCCCATTCCTGACAATTCACACCACTTTTACCATTCAGAGGTGGTTTATGTCTTCTCTCCTCTTGAATCCAGACAATACTGGGAATTGTTTGGACTCATCAAATGCCAACCAAGTGCAGCCGTATGACTTGTAGAACTATTACAAGGCAGGCAGAGGGGCACCCCTGAACCCTCAAAACCACACATTCGAAATCGAAGCTCAAACCAGTTCAGCAACCCCAGTGGAGGGCCCAGACGGGAGAGTGAATTCACCTGATGCCTTCCCGTCCTGAGGAAGCTCCTAGCTGAATGCAGCACAGGCCTGATCTCGATGCACAGCAGCACATAGGAACCGCCTGTCAGGGCCACCTGGTGACAGAGTGCTTCCCAGCACTCTGAGTTGTTTGTTTGTCTTTTCTGTAAGTTGCTAAGTTTTGTGGCAGTGTTTTCTATGACATATGTAATGACAATCACTAATTGAAACATGAAGTACAAGATTTATAAAACTTAGCAAACAAAAAAACACCAGTTCTGGAAGTAGGGTTATTTTAAAATATGAAAGTATGGTTTATGCTTTTATTGGGTAATAAAGTCAAACCTGAAGAGAGAAGTCCAGATCTTCCCTAGCTATCAATGAACAGCAGGATTAAAAAAAATCAGAGGCAGAATAATACAAACAAGTGTACAAATGTCAAATGTACACCCTATGCTAGGTAGCCTACCACACCCAGCTACGGTTTACAAACTATTCACAGAATGTGCATTCAGAGCTCTTGAATGTCATCCAGCTTGTGACACTCGTTTTACTCCTCTTGAACCAACAAATCCTTTCCTGCCAAGTAAGGTCAGTCATCCTTTGAAACAATTTGATCCCAGGTGGATACGTCAACTCCAAATTTCCTGACTTCTCTTTTCACAACCCGTATTGGCCTAGTAAACCAGCTAGATTTTGCTAAACGTTATACCTTAAATTCCTCTCAGTTCCTCTCATTCTGTTTTTCCATCCACAGACCCAATCCCATGCCCAGATTCACGGCCCCACTCTTTTTTTTTTTTTTTTTTAAAGATTTATTTATTTGTGCATACAGAACTGGGGTACAGGCCAGAGGCTCAGGGGCGGTGACAGGCTTCACCAGAGAGACAGAGTGGGGAACAGAACAGGCAGATAGAGGAAGTACACTGATGAGGGGAGCAGCGGGCGGGTCAGGAGAGGTCTGCCACGCCATGTGGTCACCTCCGGGGCAGGCGGGAATCGAACTCATGCGGAAGTGGCCTTAGCTTCTCAGTGCTGTGCTTTTAACCCGCTGCGCCACCAGGGAGGGCCCCACTCTTTTTTTTTTTTTTTTTCAAATATCTCTTCCTTTTTTTATATAACAGTTTATTTTTACATCATTTTGTACATTTTTTTTCCCATCTCAATTGTAATCCCCACAGGCTTCGCATCACCAAGTCACCCATGTGTCGTCACCATAATCCCGTGCACTTTCCTTCCCCCAAATCCCCCCCCCCGTTTTTGATCCCATTCCCCACTCCACCCCCACAAAATGTCTCTGATATATGGCTGTTCATTATTATTATTTTCTCGCCTGGTCCATTATACTCCTGCTATGAGCGAAACCAGCTGGTATTTTTCTTTCTCTTTCTGGCTTATCTCACTAAGCATGATCTTTTCCAGCTCCATCCAAATTGCACAGTCCTACTCTTAAATTGGAGCTGTAACATTTGTCTTATTTTACCCTCCTTGTTGCATAAAGTATCAATATAATGTATCATCAAGGAAAGACCCAGGGATGACTCTGTTGAATACCTGAGCTCAAACTCAATTATGCAATAAAGGTTTTGGGCTGAACATATGACAATAATATATAGTCTTTAAGACAACTACATACAAATTTTTGCACCTTAAATAGTGCACTCTGCGCAAAGATACCGTGTGCTGGCCTACATTGATGAAGAGAAGGCTCTGGTTACAGACAAAATGTAAGTCTCTGGAGAGAAAATCCTCCTAGTTTCCTTCAGTGTTAGCATTCCCAAATCAGATTTGGAATTAGTGACGGGTTCTCAGATTAGGAGGTCACCATGGCACATTTCCACATGCTCTTTTTACTATACACAAAACTTTTTTTATTTGTGTGTATGTGTAGTTAGCTAGCTAGCTAATTTCTAGGAATCTAAGGGCAAAATGTATACTATAGAAAAACTAAAATGCCCACTAGTTTAAGGGGCCATAGTTGATGCATTTGCCATTTTTAACATAAATGTTATCACTTTAACCATTTTTAAATCTATCTGTGTTCACTTTGTTGGGGATCAGCACCACCTTCAGAAAGCTATTCCTCTTGAAAATTGAAAGTTTGTGTTACTAAACAGTAATTTTCCATTCCCTGTCCCTCCAGGTGTTTACAGCTACTATTCTACACTGTTTCTATCAGCTTGAAATTTTCAGATACATCATATAAGCAAAATGTGTAGATCAAAAAGCTGGGAATTCCCATGACTTCATGACTCTACATTTAGTGTGTAAGCCATACAGGGATTTGATTTACTATGAAACATGTTATACAATGAAATCTTGGCATAGTGAATATTTGCATAAAGGACTCTAGTTTTCTCATCTATACCTACTTTTCTGGTAACACAAAAGAAGATTCTAGATACCATAAAAAATTATATTTTTAATTTTTTTAATTCTATTCTCAGGAAGGTTCTGGTTTAGATTAGTTTGTTCAACAGATCCTTCAGTAGGGAAAATTTGGCACTTTTGTCTTGTTTATAAATCATATTCAAACACAAATCACATCTAAAAATGGATTTTAAGAGATAAAAGGGGAAAAAATTAAAAGCATAAATAATATATAGTAATCATAGCTACAAAGTAATTTCCTTAACCCTGCAATTATGTACAGTGTATATTA